GTCTTTTAGCATAAATAATTTTCACATTTGTATCCTCATAAACTTTGTATAACACACAGGTGGGGATAAAATATGGTAATCTGCATTACTAGTATTTGTGCTAGTAAAAAATCATGTGTTTTAATGTACAATGAATTGGTAAGGGAAATTAATTTTTGGGGGGATTGTGTCCCCAAGGTTATTATTTGGTACCTATACACGTAGTCAGTAGCCACAGAGAATTAGTGAGTGGGTAGGAGAGGAACAGTGAAAAGTCTTCTTGTCACATATACAGGGATCTTCCAAAATACTTAAGATGTTGTCATGTATAAATAGGGGTATTCATTCATGTCTTTTTTCATTGTGCTTCATGATTGTCTTTTTTATTATGCCAATTATATATTGATATTTCCCTTTTTCTCCTTTTATAAAAAAAATGTATATTGAGGTAGATCTTCATTCTCACCGTTATACAGTTTTTAAGTAGTTATGGTAGGGTGTGGAACTGCACTCTGTCCCTTTAAGTAGTATGTAGCTGGGTGCAACTCGGACAGTCTCAGTACCAGAGACCAAATGCTGAATAACAGAAATAGAAGAAAGGTCCAGGCACTCCAAGGCAATCTTATTGAACCCACTCCCTCACAATGTTTCAACCTACACGGTCTATTGATATTTCCCTTTTTCTCCTTTTAGAAAAAAAGAAATGTATATTGAGGTAGATCTTAATTCTCACAGCTATACAGTTTTTAAAATTTTTGAGAATCTATGAATCCCCATATATATATAAGGAAATACTGCTGTCTCTATAAATAGACACACTAATATCTCACCAACAATTAGCAGTAAAAGATGCAATAGCCATATGTATTGTATTTATTATAACTTTCCCCTTTTTTTACTTTTAAAGACAAGGTAGACATGTGCAAAAACTAAAGGTGCATTATTGCACATATCTACCTTGTCTTTAAAAGTAAAAAAGGGGAAAGTTAAAATAAATACAATACACATGCCTATTGCATCTTTTGCTATGTATGGATATAGTACTGCATTGTAAATATTTATATGTATCTTTATTTTTTTTAATGTATTTTCCTGATGATTTTAGTTGTTTTAAGAAATAAGGCGCAAATTATTAGCTTATTTAAAATGCTACATAAATTATCAATCTATCTGCACCAGCAATTACGATATCTATGCTCTACAAGAGGATGGACTATAGCCCATCTGTATACTCTCATAGAGGAGGAACAGAATGAACACTCTACAATGAAGCCAGGCCCCTGAACTAATCTGGACAGAAGAGGGGAGATGTTATGGACTTAAAAGAAGGGGCTGTGCATCCATTATGTTGTCAAAAGAACCCCAGGTAGGAGGGAGAAACGTGTCAGGTGTGATGTCACAGGAGAGGCAGACCCGGAAGAGATCACGTGATCGAGACTGGCGAACCCCGAAGTGACTGTATTGAATGATAGAAGATGTTTTACTCTATCCTTACATGCTTGTATGTTAGAGTTTTTAACCTTTTTTTACAATAAATTGAGAAGATACTATTTAATTAGGGGTTTCTGTCTCTCTCTGTCCTGTAGTGCATATAATCATCTGCTTACTGGGAGTATACCGTCCAGATCCTGTCAGCACAGTGTGGGATACTTCCCTCTTCAGGGGAGCTTTTCAAACCCATAGCCAGAGGGGATAGGACTCTGGTCCATGTGAATTTTTCCCATTACCCCCTACTGTATATTACGCTATCCAGATTGTCTGCACTATATTGTTGTTTTTTGTTGTTGTTATCTGTAGAACTATTTTGTTGTCAGTTCAAGCACGCTCAATTTTGGTAATATTATTTTTATTTGTGTAAACATCTTTGTGTCACTGTGGTACAGTGCAGCTCAATGAAGCGCCTCATCACCTCTATAGTTTATACACTTTTGATTTCTAGTATTCATTCTTGGGATGAATAATATAATTTTGCCTCTTTCTAAATCAATGGTAAGACTTCACCTTGAATATGCTGTGTAATTTTGGTCACCTGTTCTAGAGAAGGATATTATGACACAATAAAAAGTGCAGAAATGGGCTACAAAATTGATAAAATGAATTGAGCATTTTGGTTATGAAGAGACGTTAACAAATGTAAATCTCTTTAGTTTGAAAAAACGGCGCTTCAGAGGGGATATGTGTTGGGATTCCTAAAAGACCCAACAAACAGGATGTAAAAGAAGAACGTTTACCGAACATTAGAATGGCCGGCTGGCCTTTACATTAGACAGAATAAAAAATGGTCAGGGACAAGACAAAGTCAAGGGAGCCAGAAATTACAGAAGTGAAGAATACAAGCCAAGCCAGAGAAAGCAGAAATCACAGTAACGAGGTGCAAAGCTGAGTCAGGGATATAGAAAGAAGAATGGTCAGACAGCCGAGATCAATACACAAGATACACAGAAATGCAAAGCACTATTGGGAACCGTAGTTAGAACCACAAAAGGGCAATGTGTTATAGTCTGGTTCTTTAAATTTGAAGCCACGCACCCAAAATGTTCCCTCTCCATCTGCAGGCAATCCCCACCCTGGATAAGCATGACAATATGATAGCATTATGCAAATATATTCGTGGCCTTAGTAAACCATTATCTGGATATCTATTCATAAATAGGTCCATACATAGGACAAGAGGTCACACATTTAGACTGAAAGAAAGGAAATTTAGTCTAAGGCAGTGGTTCCCAAACTTTTTAGGGTCATGGCATCCTTAATATTTCAGTATTTTTCCAAGTCAAAATTCTTAGGTTGTATATCTGTACAGCGCTGCATCAATTACTGGCGCTATAGTGTAATGTACAGTGTTAGTGTTTGAAGGGGTCCTTGTATATAGTTATTGTGTTTTAATACAAGGGTGTGTTTGTATGTAATGTTTTCGTTTGTTTGCGGGGGTGTGTCTGAATGTTCATTTTTAAATGCAGTTGTACATTTGTGTGACGCATTTGTGTTTGAGTGAAGGGGTGTGTTTGTATATATATATATATATATATATATATATATATATATATAAATATATATTTTAATTTGAATGCAGGGGTGTGTTTGTATGTAATATTTGTGTTTGATTGCAGGAGTGTGCTTGTACGTTGTGCTGGTGTTTGACTGCTTGGATGTATGCACATACACTACCACATACAGACAGACATACATACATACATACATACTTACACAGATACATGCACACATGCACATAAATACACCGACAATACACACAAATTCATATAGACACCGACACACACACACATAGATACACACATACACACCGACATATACACACATGCACCCTGACACACACATTGATACATGCCCACACCATAACACAGATACACACACTGACATAAAAACACACACCCTGAAACAGATACACATACACAGATGTGTGCACAGACACAGAAGCACACTGACACACACACACATTGTAATGATATTGATGTTACAAAGTTTTGGAATCCAGTAGTCAGATCAGCAATGTTTTCTGCCAGAGGTAGCCACTCGTTACCCAGGTGGTTGAGCCCCTGAGCCTTGAGTGGCCTTCTGGTCTTAAGCAGAGATGGGAGACTGGAACAGAAAGATGATAATCGTAGTGAGGCAAGCCGAGGTCAGTGGGAAGGAGAAGCAGCAAAGTCAAAACAGTCCAAATTCAGCAACAGGAAGGAGAAACAGGAACACGCTGGATTAGAGAGTACAGGAACCACAATAATCTGGCAAAGGTACAGAGACAGGAAGTGGCTTTTATAGGCCAAGAACCAGACACAGCTGAAGTGAGTTGTCACTGATAACCTTGACTCTACAAGCAATGGTATCAGATCTCAGGTAAATTTGCAAAAGGCAGGCTGGTGTACTGGTAAGGAAGAGGTTTAGCACCTTGTAAACCAGGGTTCGAAACCCAGCAGAGTCAGTTCCTCACATTACCTCCACCTCTACAGGCGCAGCCTCTGGATGCCCTATTTCCTGGTTTAGCAGGGTACTGTGCATGGAAAGACTGAAGAAGATCAGGAGCATGAATATTGTCCACTGGTTCCCACGATCTATCCTCCTCACCATAGCCTTTCCAATGAACCAAGTATTGAAGCTTGTTGCGGAAGATCCTGGAGTCAAGAATTTTTTCCACCTTCGTATTCATCTTCACCATCCACGAGGACTGGTGGTGGGGCAGGCAAGGCTTGACCAGGGAAAGTATTTTCATGAAAAGGTTTAAGCAGTGCCACGTGAAACACCGGATGTATTTTCATGGAATCCGGAAGTTGCAGACGGAAGGTGACTGCATTGATCTGAGCGATTATCTTAAAAGGTCCCATGAACTTTTGACCCAATTTATGAGAAGGAATCCTAAGCTTAAGATTCTTTGTTGACAGCCAAACCTTGTCACCAACATGATAAACTGGGGCCTCCTTTCTGTGCCTATCAGCAGCTCTTTTGTAACATTCCTGAGCCTCCGAAAGAGTCTCCTTCAACAGTTCTTGGGAATCTCGTAAGGCGGTTAGCCGGTCAGTGACTGCAGGAATGGGAGTAGTAATTGGGAGACTCACTAGAAAGGTTGGATGGTAACCATAATTGGCAAAAATGGGCTCAGAGAAGTGGAGCAGTGTTGGGCATTGTTATAGGCAAACTCCGCCGTGGGTAGAAAATCCAGCCAGTCATCCTGCAGGTAACTAATATAGCACCGCAAATATTGTTCTAAAGTCTGGTTGGTTAGCTCAGTCTGTCCATTACTTTGTGGATGAAAAGCTGAAGACAGATTTACATTAATACCTAGAATAGAACAAAAATATTTCCAAAAATGAGATGTAAACTGCACTCCCCTGTCAGAAATTACTTCATCAGGCACTCCATGCAAGCGAAATATTTCCGAATAACAAGGTCAGCAGTCTGTTTAGCTGAAGGGAGACCACGAGCTGGTATGAAATGACTCATCTTGGTTAACCGGTCCACAACAACAAGAATAGTAGTGTGTTCCTTAGAGGGAGGTAGTTCCACAATAAAGTCCATGGATATAGATCCCCAGGGGCGATGAGGAATCGGAAGAGGCTGAAGCAAGCCAACAGGGGATGAGCGAGGAGTCTTATGTCTGGCACATACATCACAAGAGGACACATACTTCTTAACACCCTCATAATATTTAGGCCACCAAAAGGATCGGGTAAGTAGTTCTTGTGTCTTTCGGATTCCTGGATGACCTGCTGGTTTAGAGTCATGGTAGAGGCGTAAAACGTCCAGTCGTACTGATTCTGGAACAAACAGACGTTGTTGAAAAATCCAAAACCCATTAAGCATGGTCATATGAAGATCACGAGGAGGATCACGAAAAACTGGATCTTTAGAGTAGCCCTTTTTAATGCGAGACATTAGATCAGAAGGAAAGGTAACTCCTAAAAATCTGCTCTCTGGCAAGATGGTGGCCTTGGTTACTGTAGTATGGAGGGGGTCAGCTATCCTAGACAAGGCATCCGCCTTGCCATTTCTGGAACCAGGGCGGTATGAAATAAAAAAATTAAACCTTGAGAAAAATAGGGACCAGCGTGCTTGTCTGGCTGACAGTCTCTTAGCAGATTGGATACATTCCAGATTTTTGTGATCTGTGAGGACAGTAATTGGATGGGTGGCTCCCTCCAAGAGATGTCTCCATTCGGTGAAGGCAGCTTTTATAGCCAAAAGTTCTTTATTCCCTATGTCATAATTTCTTTCTGCTGGTAACATCTGGCGGGAATAGAAGGCACATGGATGTAACAACATCTTAGGTCCAGTCCTTTGAGATAGTATAGCCCCAACAGCTGAATCAGAAGCATCTACCTCTACAGTAAATGGAAATTCTGGCTGAGGATGTACCAAGATAGGGGCAGATGTAAACAGAGTCTTTAATCTGGAAAATGCAGTGTCAGCCTTATTGGACCACTGAAAAGGAGTCCCTTTACGTGTAAGTTCAGTGATCGGTGTAATAACGGCAGAGAAATTCTTAATGAAACGCCTGTAAAAATTGGCAAACCCCACAAATCTCTGTATATCTTTTTCATTCTTGGGGATGGGCCAGTCCAGCACAGCTTTAATTTTACTTGCGTCCATACTTAAACCTTTAGGAGTTATTACATACCCCAGGAACTGAATTTCTGTTTGTTCAAACTCACATTTTTCCAGTTTAATGTATAGGTGGTGGGTACGAAGGCGCTCAAGAACAATGCAGACCTGTTTTCTGTGATTTTCAAGATTATCAGAAAATATCAGGATATCATCCAAATATGCCACAACAAACTGATCCAGGAGATCCCGTAGTACATCATTGATTAGATGCTGAAAAGTTGCAGGGGCATTACAAAGCCCAAATGGCATTACTAGATATTCGTAATGTCCGTACCTGGTTCTGAAAGCTGTTTTCCATTCATCATTTGGTCTTATGCGAACCAGATTATATGCCCCCCGTAGATCAAGCTTCGTAAATATTTTAGCTGAACGAAGTCTCTCCAGAAGTTCAGGAATGAGAGGCAAGGGATAACGGTTTTTAACAGTGATTTTATTAATGTCCCTGTAATCGACACATGGCCGTAGACTGCCATCTTTCTTTTCTACAAAGAATATAGGAGCTCCTGCTGGAGAAGTGGATGGTCGAATAAAGCCTTTGGCAAGATTTTCTTGTATGTATTCACGAAGTGCTTTCAATTCAGGCTCAGAAAGGGAGTATATACGGCCAAATGGGATAGCAGCTCCAGGTAGCAGCTCTATGGGGCAATCATAAGGCCTGTGAGGTGGAAGCTGATCAGCATTCTTCTTATCACAGACATCTGCAAAATCCCGATATTGTAGCGGAAGCTTAGTTAAGTTTGTAGCAACCATTTCATTAATTGTTGTGGTAACAGGTGTCGTCTTAGAGGGTTGACAATTCATTAAGCAGTGTTCTGAAGGAAAGGACAAAGTTCTAGTCTTCCAATCAATCTGTGGGTTATGCAGCGCAAGCCAGGGTATACCCAAAATCACTGGAAACTGTGTTGAGGAAATTAGGTGGAAAGATATAGACTCATGGTGATTCACTTCCAGAATCAATTTTAAGGGCACAGTCTCATGTGTAACCGGGCCTGACGTAAGTGGAGAACCGTCTACTGTTTCCATTAACACAGGTGAAGATTTAGGGATAGACTGAATTTTATTTCCTGCTGCAAATTTAATGTCCATAAAGTTTCCGCCTGCTCCGGAATCTATCATAGCTGTAGTTGAAATTGTATTATTACCATATTGCAAAGTGATAGGCACCACCAAATGAGGATGTTGAGTCATCATACCTTCTTCACCCTGAGCCAGAGAAAACAAGGGTTGTGTGACAGAATCCAGTTGGTCTGAAATCTGGGATTGGTGTTGAATCTGTGCACCCTCAGCAGTCATAGCTATTGTTCTTTTAGACTTGTTAGGGCACTTGATGGCATAATGCCCTGCACTACCACAATACAGGCATAAGTTGTGAGTGCGTCGCCACTGTTTTTCTTCATTGGATAATGGCCCTCTTATTAGATCTACTTGCATAGCCTCAGGTTCAGAGTCTGTAGGTGTTTGTGGGGTCGGAGTAGAAATTCTTGAATAGAAAGTAGGAGTAGCACTTGGTTTAAAAGAGCCCTGTCTTTCCAATCTTCTTTCTGAAAGTCTCCGATCAATACGGATAGCCAACCGCACAAATGCATCAAACTCAACAGGAAGATCAACACGAGCTAGCTCATCTTTTATAGCTTCTGAGAGACCCCTTCTGAAGTGGAACCTCTGGGCTGATTGGTTCCAAGTAGTATCAGTAACCCACTGTCTGAATTCAGCAGCATATTCAGCCACAGATCGCCTCCCTTGATGTAAATGAAGGAGAGTGGCTTCTGCTGTAGCACAGCGATTGGGATCATCAAAAACTAGGCACATGGCCTCAAGAAAGTCTTTTAAATTTCCCAAGATTGGACTGTCCTGTTCCAGAAAAGGGGAGCCCCAGGCCAGGGCTTCATCTTTGAAGAGGGAAAAAATAAATCCCACCTTCTCTCTTTCAGATGGAAAACGGTTAGGTAACATCATAAAATGCAAACGGCATTGATTTAGGAAACCCCTGAATTTTTTGCGGTCTCCTCCAAATTTTTCTGGTAGAGGCAAGCGGGCATCTTGTGCAGGTGTAACAGTAGTAGTAGCAGCAGCCGCAACATCATGTGCCCTGTAGCTGGTAAGCTCACTATGCATTGATCGAACTTCATTTTGCAGTTCAGCTACCTGATCCTGCAGCACTTGAATGGTCTGTGCCTGGGTCTGCATAGTTCTTGCATTAAAAGCAACCTGCTGGGCCAATGCAGAATCTGATCCGACGGTCTCCATGAATGGGCCAGATTATTCTGTAATGATATTGATGTTACAAAGTTTTGGAGTCCAGTAGCCAGATCAGCAATGTTTTCTGCCAGAGGTAGCCACTCGTTACCCAGGTGGTTGAGCCCCTGAGCCTTGAGTGGCCTTCTGGTCTTAAGCAGAGATGGGAGACTGGAACAGAAAGATGATAATCGTAGTCAGGCAAGCCGAGGTCAGTGGGAAGGAGAAGCAGCAAAGTCAAAACAGTCCAAATTCAGCAACAGGAAGGAGAAACAGGAACACGCTGGATTAGAGAGTACAGGAACCACAATAATCTGGCAAAGGTAAAGAGACAGGAAGTGGCTTTTATAGGCCAAGAACCAGACACCTGACTAGACACAGCTGAAGTGAGTTGTCACTGATAACCTTGACTCTACAAGCAATGGTATCAGATCTCAGGTAAATTTGCAAAAGGCAGGCTGGTGTACTGGTAATGAAAAGGTTTAGCACCATGTAAACCAGGGTTCGAAACCCAGCAGAGTCAGTTCCTCACACACATATATATATATATATATATATATATACACACAGAGATGCACACCCTGACACACACACACTCATACTCACTCATACATATACACACACACACATACACACATATACACACACACTCATACTCACACACACACTCAAGCTCATACTCATACACACACTCATACTCACACACACTCAAACTCATACACGTACCGAAACCCATACTCAAACTGATACACACACTCATACACACAATCACTCACTCATGCTCACACACACTCAAACTCATACAAATGCACACACTCATATTGACACTCATACTCACACACGCACTCAAACTCATACACATACTCATACTCAAACTCATACAAATGATTTTTTAAAAATATTTCCAGCCATCCTCCTGTTCCCTCCAGCTTACCTTATGTGCCAGGAGCGTGCTTGGAGTCCTGCTGCTGTGGAAGTGAGGGGTCTGGAGCTCTTCGTGCTCCTCTCCCCTCACGCTGCAGCTGCCTCCTTCCCCGCTGCCTCCCTGAATGATGCTGGGAGGAAGTGACAGGCTGTGACTTCCTCCCAGCTGGCCAACATCACTCAACTGGGCCCCTGTTCAGTAGTAATATTTCCCCTGTGCTATAATCATAGCATCGGAGAAACACTCTGTGGCACCCCTGTGTGGGCATTGTGGCGCCCCAGGGCCCCGCAGCATACAGTTTGGAAAACAAAAGGGTTTTTTTTACTGTAAGAACAATATGGTTGTGGAATTTTATGCCTGAAAAGGTGGTTTTATCAGAGTCTATAAAGATTTTTAAACAGCAGTTGCATAAATTCCTTGCAAAAACATAATATACAGGAATATACATTTGAATTAGTGGGGAAATGGTTTCTTGATCCAAGGAGATATCTGACTGTAGTTGCACAATTGGAAGCACTTCAGACTGGGTTTTTTGCCTTCTTTTGGATCAAAAGCAAAAATCAAGTGTGAGAAAGGCTGAATTTGATGGATGCATGCCTCTTTTCAGCTATGTAACTATTCACTTAATTTAAAGTCTCATTGTAAAACACACTCTGTTGTATTACTTCTAATACAGCAAAGCTCTAACTGAAAAAAACATTTTTTTAAAAAAATGCAATTTTTGGAGATTTGTAAATGTACAAATATATGGTAAGTAGCCTAAGAAAAAATATGAGTTGGGTCCCCGGGATACCGTACAAACTAGGGGAGCTTGGCTTATAATTCCCTTGTTCCCATTCCACCTAAAGGAGATTTTCTTTTTTTTTTTAAATATTACGTGAATTTATTGTGTGGTGTTATACATTCAATATTATATAATTAAAATGTTCATATGTATGGTTAACCCATGCTCTTTTTAACCTATAAAATGCTCTCCAATTTCTTATTTTACTGTATATTGTTCAAAACAAATTCAGTACCAAGGTTTATTCACTTTGTGTGAGCTGTATTCATTTAAACCTTTGCGGATGACATACTCTACAGCATGGGGGGTTAAAGGTATGTACACTGTTTTATTAGTGAACATGTCAATGATATTTTCTGAGCTTAATTTATTGAAAACTCTAATTTTAAACAGTATTACAATTACAGTTAGAAATAAACATGCATAATGGTGAGTTGACTTGGAAAAAAATAGTAGAAAATATTCTAGATGTTTGCTACACTGCCATTAAAATT